CATGTAAGGGAATCAGGACATTGTTCCAGAAGGTGACCTAAGTGTTCACATCTGGCTGACCTGTCCTTCCAGCCTGCAGCTCTGCAAGCCTGGAGCATTTCAAGAAAATTAAGCTCAAGCTCTCTGCAAAAGTGCTTTCTGTTTCCTCTTTCCTTTTCCCACCTCCTGTTCCCACCGCCATGTCTCTCTACCCTATTCCAATTGAGATTTGGACCAGTTTATACAGAGGATTTTTCTTATGTCCTAAAGAAATTCAAAAAATATAAACACTGTCACTGTCTCTCATAATAAAGAAATTCTTCTTATTTCTTTTAGTAAGAAAAAACAAGTTTCACACTTTTGGTTTATTTAGCTGGACAGAATCCAAAGACAGAGCTCTAAGTCAGAGGACAGAGTTTTAAATGATGACTTGTCTGTTTATAGATGAGTAATTGGACTTGCTGTACTGAAACTGTGGGATGGTGACTTGTAGGTCTGATATTTATTTACATAATTCACTGAATGTAACCGATTTTGAAATATAGCTTATAAATATTTAGAAAATATTGTTTCTAAGTACCTGCAGCATCTTTACAGTGTATCAGGCTATTTATTTTGAAACACTATCTCTTTTTATTGAGAGGTAAGGTAGATAGCTGAGCAGAGATGCATACAGAGTAGAACATAATTAATATTGTGGGGGAGAAGGAAAACGAAATGGCTGTTAGATGGGGAACAATCAGTCCTCCCTCACAGGAAAGGCTTTTTTATGCAGATGAGGACGTTGCTCCTAGATATGCATTTGAACTTTCTATGTTTGGTTGCCTTGATTTTATGTTTTAGTGAAAAAGGAATCTGTACAGGATCAGGAGGTCCTTCAGACCAAAACAATGAAGGCTTGGTGATCGATTTCAAAAGTGGCCACAAACTCTCCCCTTGCTCAGATTCATGTTTTTAAAATCAGGCTTTGCTGCTCCATCCTTTTAATGGTGAAATCTATTTCTCCATCCCTTGAATCTAGGCTGAGGTTATGGCATGCTCCAGCCAATAGATTGCATCAGAAGTTCATTGCACATGTTTTTAACGTATGCCTCAACAGGCTTTCCACTTTCTGCTCTAACTCTGAAACCCTGAGCATTTGCCATGTGGATAGCTTAGTCTGGGCTGCTGCATGATGCAAGACACGTGTCTCAGTTACCTTCATCACTCCGGGTGACAGCCATCCAACTCCAGAAGCAGAGCCACCTAGCTGACTCAAACCTAACCACAGATGCATGAGTGAGCCTAGCCAAGGTGAAAAGAACCACCCAGCTGAAATCCCAGCCAAAATTGCAGACCTACAGAATCGTAAGCTGAACAAATATTGTTGCTTTGAGCCACTAAGTTTTAGGCAGTCATTTCAGCAGCAAAAACTTAACTGGCACAGGTTTACAATGGCTCTGGGCATGAAACCACCCAGAATAGCACTTATGAGTCATAACCAATGTCCATTGCCTCCATTGTGGTCATTAAGTAAATCTTGCATCTACATGAAACAAGCAAGTCATTTATTCAATCAAAGTCTATCGAGCACCTAGTTTAATTCAGGTACTGTTTGTTCAAGGCTGCTGGGAATACAACAAAAACAAGACAGATCAAGTTTCTGCCCTCCTTGAGTTTATATTCTAGTGATGAATAAAGACACTAATGAACAAGCAAGTGAATATATAATACAATGTGAGCTAGCAAAAGTGCTTTAAAGATAAAACCAAAGCTAGTAAGGTGAGCAGAGAGTAATGGGGGAGGCTATTTTTGATAGTGTAGGTGTAGAAGCCTTGCCGAAAAAAAAGATATGAGCAGAAGATAAAGTGCAGAAATGAGCTATATAAAAATCTAGACAAAGAGTATTTACTCTCTGCTGGGGCATTTTAAATTAAAATTATACTCAAGTGACCCCCTCAGTCCAGGATTCCCTTTGTACCCCTTTAAAAACACTCCATAATCTGTCTAGTACTCATACCTATGTCATAATCAAATTTCACATTTTACATTTAGTGATGAAGTCATGTAAGTTGCTGAAAAAGAATGCTGGGGGGGTTAAAAATTTGTAATGTGGATTTGTTAATTGTAGGCAAAATCCTATTTTCATAATTATACAATGTATTCCTCTCATAAAATAGAAGTTATTTCTCCAGTAATCTTTGATTCACTTTTTAAAAATATGTGTAATTAACTTTCTTATCCTTAGCAAACTAATACAGTAACAGAAAACCAAATGCCTCATGTTCTCACTTATAAGTGACAGTTAAATGATGAGAACTCATGGACGCATAAAGGGGAAAAACACACACTGGGGCCTTTTGGAGGGTAGAGGGTGGGAGGAGGGAGAGGATCAGGAAAAATAAATAATGGGGTCTAGGTTTAATACCTGGGTGATGAAATAATCTGCACAACAAACCCCCATGACACAAGTTTACCTATGTAACAAACCTGTACTTGTACCCCTGAACTTAAAAAGTTTAAAAACACATAAAATAATTTTAAAAAAAAAACTCTCTTCCTTTAACTCCTCAGAACTACCTCTAAGGCAAGGCAAAGATTTTTGTTGTTGCTATCATTGTTTTTGTTTGCTTATTTTAGGAAAAAGTATCATATAAGTGAGATATTGTATAACAATGTATGTTTGCATACATATGTTTATTGCAGCATTATTTACAATAGCAACGACTTGGAATCAACCCAAATGCCCATCAATGGTAGCCTGGATAAAGAAAATGTGGGACATGTACACCATGGAACACTATGCAGCCACAAAAAAGAATGAGTTCATGTCCTTTGCAGGACATGGATGAAGCTGGAAACCATCATTAACAGCAAACTAACACAGGAACAGAAAACCAAACACTGCATGTTCTTATTCATAAGTGAGTTGAAAAATGAGAACATATGGACACAGGGACAGGAACATCATGCACTGCAGCCTGTTGAGGGGTTGCAGGTAAGGTGAGAGAGAGCATTAGGACAAATACCTGATGCATGCAGAGCTTAAAACCTAGATGATGGGTTGAAAGGTGCAGCAAACCACCATGGCACATGTATACCTATGTAGCAAACTGCACACCCTGCACATGTATTGCAGAACTCAAAGTAAAATTTTAAAAAATGATTTATGTTGTCTATGGTGAGGAATAAATCAAGCAAGACACAGACAAAACTTTAGAGCTCTTGTTCTATGTTTGCTTATTAAACAGCAATATTGAACCATTTTTTTATTTGCAGAATTCTAAAGTCATCTAGCACCAAAAGCAAGTACATTAACTTTCAATAGGATGAATACCCCCATTTAACAATTGATATAAATCATCCTCCACAAGGGAACGAAATCTGAATAGGAATTCACACGATGGTTTAATAGAAGGTGAGGTTTAGACATAGAGTAATGTGCCTAAAACTGCTGACAGTTCACTAAAACCTATCTTTTTTGATTTTCTGAGCACTGATCTAGACTCTATTTTCTAGCCTACCTTTCATTTATGTGTGGTCATGTGACTAGGTTCTAGCCAATAGAATGTGAGCAAAAGTGTACAGTGCCATGGAAAGGTGTGGTCCATAAAATGACTACAAGTAATCATCTCTTCTCTTTCCTTCCATTTGGCAAAATATTGGTACCCAGAGTAACCCTTAAGTCTGCACTAAAAATAGTACAACCTCCATCAGCTTGGGTCCTTGAAAAGCTGCAGGGGGCATAGCTTCTATTTGCCTATACAATTAGAAAATAGTACACTCATTCTGTAAGCTATTCTATTTGTCAGGGGGTAGAGGATGGAAGGCTATTGTTTTTGCAGTCTATCATGTCTTCATCCATGCAGTATCTACCATTCTGCCATGCCATCCATACCAGAAAAACAAACATACAATATTCTTCAGTGGTAATATTAAGGCAGGCAGCTGATGAATGAAAACAACTGCAAAATAAATGTCAACAATGAGTTTTATCAACACATATATCTTAAAAGACCTTGTTTGTAAACAGGGATTATTTCTTTACATATTTTTGAATCCGGACAGGTGTAAAAGTTGTTGACCGAATAGCAGACTCTCAGAAAGTGCTGAACGAATAAGTAAGTGAATGAATGAAGTGGAATCTCGGAAGACTCAGTAATGTCAGGAGACACAGAGTTTAGCAAATGTTTCACTGTGAATTTAGAAATGTTTCTGAGTATTAGCTTCTTTCTTGTGAAATTATGTGATTGGTCTAAATTTCTCCAAGCTGGGACATTCTGAGTCCTGTTTCAGAAGGTAACTGGTCCTTCCAATAAAGAAATGAGCAGGACACAGAAGGTCTGAGGCTTCCATACTGTGAGAATGGAGTCGTAGAGGCCTAGAAAGCAATGTCTCTTAGGATTCAAGCCACAGTGTAAGCTACCTCTTCGACTTCTGGGATATTCCAGCTTAAGTACCTTCAAACCATCATGAAAAGAGAGCATTAAGTCTAGAAGAGGTTCTAAAGAGTATGTGATCTGAATTCCCTCACATCACAGATGAAGAAAATTAGAGCCTCGAACATTAAGCCACACAGCCACTCCTCCCAGCCAAGGTTAGAACTTAGATTTCCTACCTTGCAATCCAGGTTCTCTGTTAGTCATACCATGTATTTGCCTATGCTTAGCCTGATCCAGGCTTAAAATTATCTATATCCAGCCCTTATAATAAGAATCTGCTGTATTTTGTTTGTTCATTTGGTTGGTTTAAAAGATTATTTTGTGTTATCAAGACCTTTTTGTGTATTTTTTTCTTAATCAGCTTCACGGTAGTACTCTAAATCAACTCCAATTCTTTTCTCCTGTGATATGCATACTAAATGTGTGTCCCATAATACACTAATTGGGAAGCTTTTCTCTAACACACTTCATCAGGTTGACACTACCAACCCAATTTCCAAGCTCCTTATGTTCTGGACCAAAGAAATTTCTTTTTAACAAAATAGCCATTATGGTCAAGAGAGACAGAGAAAGTGCAGATGAGTAGCCAGAGCTCGGTACCTGGGTTCAAAACCTGGTGTCCTCTCTTGCTTGTTACTGATGAGGGGTCAGTTTACTCCACCTGTTCGAGTCCAATTTCCTCTCCTGTAAAAAAAAAAGGGATTTGATTGTAGTTTTGAGGACTTACACACATATGCATATTCTAGTCCAAGATCTGGTGAGTTATAAGTCTTCAATAATTGTTACTTCTCTTCTCCTTCCCCTTATCAGTTGCCACAATAAATAAATCATTTAAGCTACCTGAGCCTATTCCTTCATCTTTTTTTTTTTTTGAGATGGTGTTTCGCTCTTGTTACCCAGGCTGGAGTGCAATGGCGCGATCTCGGCTCACCGCAACCTCCGCCTCCTGGGTTCAGGCAATTCTCCTGCCTCAGCCTCCTGAGTAGCTGGGATTACAGGCACGTGCCACCATGCCCAGCTAATCTTTTGTATTTTTAGTAGAGACGGGGTTTCACCTTGTTGACCAGGATGGTCTCGATCTCTTGACCTCGTGATCCACCCGCCTCGGCCTCCCAAAGTGCTGGGATTACAGGCTTGAGCCACCGCGCCAGGCTCCTTCATCTTTTATATGGGACTAATGATGCTTAACTTTATAACCTCACAGGACATTTTTGATAATCAAAGAATTGATGCATCTATGGTACTTAAAAATAATAATAAAGAGGATAAGCTATTAAACAAAGACAAGGCCTGAATATTAACACCTCATAATTATTATTATTATTACAAATATTCAAGGCTGCACCTGGCTCACCTGTCTTTATGAAGTTTAACATTAAGTCATAAAAGTCTTATAGGACAATCCTGCCTGAGCTATTTTCCAAACCAAACTGGTCATTTAACTTGCTTAAACATTTTTTTCTTCTTCAATGATCAAAGCTTCTGTTTCCAAGAATCTGTAAGACATGTCAAAAGCATTTTCAATTGCCGTTCCTGAATTTCATGAGCCTTTGCTATAGAGGACTACGAAACAGAAAAGCTGTGGTTCTCCTCATTCTCCCACCCCAAAAGTTAAATCTTTTAGTCTTACGTTCAAAAATGCCAATACTTTGCCCACTCTGTACTGCCTGCCAATTCAGATGATGTTATATCATGGAGCTTATAAATCATCAACTCTTCAGGACTATGGATATCATAGTGAATATTCTACGCACTATAAAGCTAGAAGGCAGGAAAGGGCCTCAGAAGTTACCCAGTGTTTGTCTTTATCACTTTCATTGCATGGGTATTTCCTGCAAAACTTCCCATTTTCCAGAATATCCCACTCAATACTTTGACCCTGCTAGGCTTAAGTGATCAATCAGCTATTTCCAATATTGCAAGATTTTTTTTAAAGTTATCTTTGCCTGACCTCTCAATAACTTCATACTCTATTCTCCTGGAACTCATTCCCTTGGACCCCACCCCACTATGTCTTTGCCCAGAAGGTGAAGCCTAAAGAAGCCTCAATATAACCAGCATTAACGTGTTTCCTTTCCCTGCATCCTTTTCTGCTACTTCAAATGAAAGAGCCCTGCACTGTCAATTGATACTAAGCATCTTGCGTAATTACTTGTCACTAAATTGCAGCCATTAGACTGCCTTTCTTAAAAAAAATACTCCTTATTGCTTGAACTTGTAGAGTCAGCAGGTTTCTTTATGGTGTTGTTCATTACTGTCCTCGAAGTAATCCTATGCACTGTAATCCCTCCCCAGTCTGAGGTTTCCCTTTCTCTTCCTATAGTTTGCTTTTCACTGTAGCTGCTGAGCAGCATAAATCAATACAATGCACACCATAAACACCACAAGTGCTAACCCTGCCAATTGGCTCTCTTTAATTGGTTTCAGCTAAAAACCTGTAAACCTATTTGAAGTGAAAAGGCAGACAAATCAAAGGCAAGATGAATGACCTGGAAGGCCTTGCTGAGCTAGGGGGTTGCAAGCTCCAACACGGTATTTTTCATCTCTGTCATGGGATTTTTTTTTTCCATTTCACTCTAGATCCTTTTTACTTCCCAGGTATTATGCTTCAGCAGCCTCCACATTCATAATTAGGGAAAGGAAGGTGGAAATACTCCAGAGGCCAAATGGTGCATTTTAGTGATTGTGCTAATGGTGGGAGCAACCTGAACAGAATAAATATCCCCCACAATTAGTGTTATATTGACAATTTTTCATGATTATCTTCTCTACAAATAAACTCAAGTCCTGATGAATTGCCCCTCAGATGTCACACACAAATGGCAGATTTACTGCACATTTTTATTATTACCATGCTGAACTTTAAAAACCTATGGCTTTGTCTTGTTTCAAAATGCATATACTTTTTGATTTGCATTGCTGCAGGGAAAGCCTGTGTTTCATTCAGATATTGAGGTTTGTTTATCCACAGTGACAACAGTGCCTCCAGACTGCTGGGTTCCCCAAAGCCTATCATTCAGGGGAGGCTAACTGAGGTGACTGGAGGAGGCCATTTCACCTAAGGGGTCCGGGTCAAAGATCTCTGGGAATGGCCTCTCCACTAGACTGGTCCTGAGTTGGCCACACTCCACTTTCTTCCCTTTGCCTTAGGTGTATGCTCTAGTCAGCCAAATTAGTCGCTAGTTCATGATCAAAGCAACTAAGCCTGGGACCCTTTTCTAGAAGGTTCCAAATCTTGTCAAGCATGCAATGGTATTTGAAAAGGAGAGGTTGTGTTCAACCAATAATTAAAAATGTATGCTAAAATAGTCACAGAAAAATCCCCTGGGTAGAAACACACCAAGATTGACACTCGTAAAAGGGCTTGTCAAAGAGTAAGACATCTGTGTGTGCACACACCCACACGCAAACACACAACACTGGAGGAAAGGCATTTTCTTTGGATGTGGGCTCAGAAGCGCAGGCTGTCTCACAGGCTGGGTTGTCTCTTATGCAATTGCCATATCTAAATTAGCATTTCCATAACACAATCATTTCATCTCACTCTTGAAACCACTTTTATCTTCCATTTTATTTTAATAGGTGCTACAGTCAAATTTTAGGAGAGGCTATATGCTAAGGCAGCCCCAAACATGATTCATCTTACACCCAATTGAGTGAATACAAATGCAGTCATCTGGCATGCTCATTTAGATCTTTCTTTAGTGTTATTACATGATTCTCATTAGCAGCCCCCCAAAATCTACCAGGTCAGTTTTCAAAAATCACTGTGAGGCTGAATTTCTAGCAATACCTTCAGGATGAAGCTGGTGGTACAAGGTGTATCCTGCCCAGAAATTAGATACTAGAAGATACCTACCAGAGTATTTTTAAACCTAACCAGCCAGCAGGGCATCCCTCTAATCCTGGACTCAGAATGAGATACACAGAACATCTCCTTGTAACCTGTGCAAGCCAAGGTAAAGTAATGTTGTAGCATTGAGTCCAGTGCTCCTGGTTTTGATTGATGTCATCGATCTTATCTCTCCCTGAGTTTTTGCATCCTGTGACTGTGCCCATCCCTCCCTCCTTAACTTGCTCCATAGGTAACACAGGAACAACTTCTTTTATTGTAGGCACTGATTTCTCCCATTTGGAAATGACTCCCCAAAACTTTTTCAAGCCAATGGATCGCAAAATGTCCCATAATACTGGTGTGTTATTTATTATAAAGTTTTTCCCAGTCTATGAAGTTGCTGCTGTCTAGATGTAGGTGGGGAAGCAGTTGGGTCTATGATACCTAGCAATAAACAACTGAAGAATCAGAAAAATGCTTTCTTTTATAGCCTGTTTTGCAAATTTATCAGGAATTTTAAAAATCACTTCCTCAATCCTGTTTCCATCAGTTGAGCTATTTAAAAGTTCATTGCCAGAGGACAGCCAGGGATTTCCCACAGGTGAGCTCAGCTGAATGTTCAGAGGATGATCGTTTAGTTTGTTCACAAACACACAGAAACAGGTTTCCAAGCACAGAACTTCCTTTCTAGCGTTCTCTTCCCCTAATATCCCTAACTCCACTAAATCCAAAAAAATTATGATCGTCTGGGTTTTGGCAAATGCATGCAATGTTAGCAATCCCTATCTAATTGCAGGCTCATTTGAAGGAGATGTTGAAAGAGAAATTCTTCTGATTTACTATTCCACTTTTTCTTTTTTCTTTCCATGGCTTATTTCATGTTTAATCTTTAAAGTGAAAATAAATCTCTACAGGAAAAGTAAAATATCCCCTTAATACAAGTATATAGATCGCTTAACCTTTTCATAAAAATAATTTTCATTTAGCTAAATAGCTTCAACATTAATGCCCCTTGAAAGAGACTACATGCAAGACTGCAAAGGGTGAAATGGCTGTGCCAATTTCTAGCCATAATTAAAGTTTCATTATACCAGCGTCTTCACAATATTAAAGTGGTATAACTTGTGTTGGAATGACCTGGGGGTGTGTGCTTAGAATGTGGGGCTTCTTGAGAATGTAATAGTGCCGCTTTCTGTGCTAACAGATTCCATTCATGTTCACTCTTTTTATGTCTGCCCTGAATCAAAACGGGTCTGTAATTAATACCGTCAGAGAATAACCATTAATGATGGACAGTGATATAGTTTGGATGTGTGTCCCGCCTACTGTTTCTCATGTTGAAATGTGATCCCCAATGTTGGAGTGGGAGCCTGGTGGGAGATGACTGGATTATTGGGGGATGATTTCTCAGGAATGGTTTGGCACCAGCCCCCTTGCTACTGTCCTCTCAATAGAGAGTGAGTTCTCCTGAGATCTGGTCGTTTAAAACTGTGTAGCGCCCCCACTCCTCCCCCACACCGCGCTGTCTTGCTCCTGCTTGTGCCACGTGATGTGCCTGCTTTCGCTTCACTCTCTGCCATGACTATAAGTTTACTAAGGCCTCCCCAGAAGCAGATGCTGCTAGGTCTGCAGAACTGTGAGCCAATTAAACCTCTTTTCTTTATAAATTACCCAGTCTCAGGCATTCCTTTACAGCAATAGGAGAACAGACTAGTATATACAGCTTCCAAAAAAACACTGGAAATACTTTATTTCCAAAGGTAAATGCATTCTAGCCAAGCAGCCCCTTCAGAGTTCTAGCAAGTTCTCTTTTTCCTTCTTTAATCACATGATTTGTTTGGAGAAAACT